GAAAGATATTACAGAGAAGAAGAGTCTAGAGCAAGCAAATCAGCCGTCCTCAAGCTGATAGTATGCCCTATCTTCTTTTAAAGGTAAGATTAGTGTCTACGCCTAATAAACTATAAACCCTTCTACCTCGAAAGTATAGTCGACTCGCGTAGTCGGCAATTATGGTCGGCAGTTCGTTACTCTAGCTAATCTTGATCTCTAGATCCGGAAGCTTTGCGTCTTTATTAACTTGAGCTCCTAAAGGTTCGAATAGTTTATCGACCTCTAGAAAGAGATGCTTCAAAAGAAGCAGCTATTTGCAAAGCACCGTCGGTAGAAAGGCGTTCAAGATCGTATCCTAAGGGTCGTTCAAGACGTAAAGACAAGGTAGTCCTTAACAACGTTAATGCTCGATCGCTTTAGCAGACTCTAAGTAGTTATTGAATCTTATATCGAGCGACTTGACCTAGGTAAAGACATAGGCATCGATTCCGAAGAATAGCAAAGGGTAGAGTACCTTATCGACCTTACGAAACCATTTGCAGCGGCGACAGCGGTGATTAGAACTACGAAAGGTCCGACGATTTACCTTGTCCTCGTATACTACAACAAGCTTTTCGATATTCTAGAGGAGGCGATAAAGCGACTTAAGAATAAGCGGATACCCTAGAAGAAGGATGTCTTTCAGGCATACGAGGCTGCTTAGGCTAAGCTAGAGAAATATTATCGAGATACCTAGGATCGATTTGGCGATTACTACGGTATTAGCGTCCTCCTTACCCCCTGCCTTAAGCGGAAGTTCTGGGTACGCGATGACTTTAGGGATAAAAGTTACCGTACGTATTACGAGGGTAAGCTAAGGGCAGAGTAGGAGAAGAGCTATCGTTCATTATCGAGTACCTCTACCTAGTAGGGCCGTTTTGGAAGGAGTCGGCATAAAGGCTATATCGACTTTACTCTTAGTAGGAGTATAGAGTCTTCTCAAAGTCAAAGACACAGTACTAACGAGGATGACGAGCTCGCCGACTATTTGGACGCTGATATAGATAAAGGGGATCTATTCGAGGTACTAAAGACGTAGTCTTCAATAGAGTCTAAGTACCCTACTCTCGTATTAATAGCGCGGGATATTCTCTGCATTCCTGCCGCCGGAGTTAGGTATAAGCGCGATTTTAGTATCGCTCGACACCAAAGTCGTTTCAATCGCCAATACACCGTAGCAACATTCTCTAGATTGATAGTATCTCGTTTTCGCTATCGGGACGATAAGTACGATACTAGAGTTCTTATCGCCTAGGAGGCTATAGAGGTTTCCTAAGCGCTTCTTAGTACTCTAACTTTATAGGAG